CTATCAAAGTGCTAAATTCGTGAACGGAAACTTAACAATACATTTGATTCTGGGCGAATTCTTTTGTCATTTACTCTCAGGTAATAATATATGTCTCTGATAATTTCCCATGACACATAATCCACCCACCAGCCCCTTCCCCTTCTGTGTAAAATTCTGAACACTTTCACGACATACATTCTCACACAACAGAAATCAAGGGTAATGGAACTTACCGGTTCGTTGACAAATGCGCTGCTTCGTTCCATTTGTGGAGGGGACTCCATGACCGGGGTTGTTACGATCCCAAGCAGATGGAGCGTTGTCGCAGTGGGGCCGCTCGGGATCCATCTGAATGACACAGATGGATGTCACAATGAACGTACATACGCCCTAATGAAATAATCTTAAAAAGTCGCCAAAAACACACATTCGATCGAATCAAACTTTGTCTGATGATGTGATGCGGAACTAATCAGATTTTATCAATTAGTCCATGACATTCATCGCCACAAACCTTTATTTGAGCTCGTTCTCGAGAAAAAAAAAGGACTCGCCCTTCATCCACCTTGGCTACGTACGTAGGCTGCGTACATAGGTTTTTATAATTACACTTACAGGCGCTTTTAACTAGCTGATTTCATTTGTATAAAGTCCCTCTTTTCTTCTTCTCCTTAGCGCTAATTCAGTGGCAGTGGTCTCCACATCCTACAATTCAGGTATTGGCAATAACTGGGAGGCGATCCAGGACCGCCTCCGACAAATAAGAGTCTTGCCTACTCTGGAACAGCCAGGTTAGCTACCCGGAACCCACACACGTCAGAGCTTGGTAAGCCACTTATATGTGGAGAATGGAATGGAAATGTGTCAAACAGCATTTAAGAGTGGTATCCCTTCCGCTAACTCCGCACCCGTCACTGTCACACCATCCATACACCCGTTACCGTTCCTGGACCACTCCACCCTAATTTCTGTGGGAATCCGGTTGTTCAATCGAGTTATTCGTTTCTTGTACCCATGGTATCAATCCTCACTCTCTCAGTCAGTAGAGTGCTTGAACATGCGCCTGCTCTCTACAATGCTTCGCAAAAGTTTATGCTGCTGAGTCATTAGTTCTGCGAAAGGAGGGCAATAATTAGCAGTCACACAGAGACAAGGGAGAGCCTGATTTACCTCGATGGGGTTCGGTCAGCTCAATTCCCATTAACACAGCGCATAAGCGCAGCTATTGGAGTGGTAGGATGTTCCACTACGGAGTAAAGATGTGCGCAACTGAGAGCGTCGGAGAATGTGATGCCTTATTGTTAGCCAGAGACTCGGCTCTATGCTAACCTCTTACTGAATCGTTTTCATTTAACTCTGGGTAACTGAAATCTCAGAGTCGATTGTAGACATTAGCAGTCAGACGAGCGAGGCTCTAGACAGCTGTCAGTCCAGAAATTTTCCTAATCGTCACAGTCGCGTTAAATTTTAACTCTGAGTCCAAGTGTTCAGGTCTTAAGAGGATAATTGACGACCGTAACTCTAAATTCAACACTACTGCCTTGTGACACACAAAAACATGAAACAATGCGGAATTGCGCCTTTAAACATGCCATCCTGTATAACTGACTAGCCTTACACACCGCATCCTATAGTGAATAGGTGAAACATGAAAATTTTTGGATTAGCACGAAAACTGATCTTCCCAAGAGAACCATTCCCAGAAATGCGGAACGTTTCCAGAAAAAGATTGAAGCAGAATTTATAAACCGGTTATGTGTCACGAAAACTGATCTTCCCAAGAGAACCATTTCCAGAAATGCGGAACGTTTCCAGAAAAAGATTGAAGCAGAATTTATGAACCGGTTATGTGTCCATTTAAAGGCACCGTTCACATGTATTTGGGTAATCCAGATTATGATGAAAAATGGAAGACAAGATCGAAACTAGTGCGACTGAGGTGAAGAAACTGCGTACATAGGAGTTTCCAAAGTGAAAAAAGGGCTTCGAAAACCGTTAAAAAGGAGGCTGGACGAGAAT